AAAAACTACTAGAGCTGATCAAAGAATTCAGTAAGATAGCAGGTTACAAGATTAACGTTCAAAAATCAGTTGCATTTCTTTACACTAACGATGAATCAACAGAAAAAGAAAGTAAAGAAACAATCCCCTTTAAAATAGGACCCAAAGTAATAAAATACCTAGGAATAAATCTAACCAAGGAGGTGAAAGACTTATACAAAGAAAACTATAAACCATTGATGAAGGAAATTAAAAAAGACTTTAAAAAATGGAAAGATATCCCATGCTCTTGGAGTGGAAGAATCAATATTGTTAAAATGGTCACATTGCCCAAGGCAATCTACAGATTCAATGCAATCCCTATCAAATTACCCAGGACATATTTCACAGAATTAGAACAAATCATAATAAAATTTATATGGAACCATCAAAGACCTAGAATTGCCAAAGCATTACTGAAGAGAAAGAAAGAGGCTGGAGGAATAACTCTCCCAGACTTCAGACAATACTACAGAGCTACAGTCATCAAGACAGCATGGTATTAGTACAAAAACAGACATATAGACCAATGGAACAGAATAGAGAGCCCAGAAATGAACCCACAAACTTCTGGTCAACTAATCTTCGACAAAGGAGGCAAGAATGTACAATGGAATAAAGACAGTCTCTTCAGCAAATGGTGTTGGGAAAACTGGACAGCAGCATGTACAGCAATGAAGCTAAAACACTCCCTTACACCATACACAAAAATAAACTCAAAATGGATCAAAGACTTAAACATAAGACGATATGCAATAAACCTCCTAGAAGAAAATATAGGCAAAGCATTATCTCACATACATCTCAAAAATGTTCTCCGAGAACAGTCTACTCAAGCAATAGAAATAAAAGCAAGAATAACAAATGGGACCTAATGAAACTTACAAGCTTCCGCACAGCAAAGGAAACCAGAAGTAAAACAAGAAGACAACCCACGGAATGGGAGAAAATCTTTGCAAATGAAACCGACAAAGGCTTGATCTCCAGAATACATAAGCAGCTCATACGACTTAATAAGAAACAAACAATCCAATCCAAAAATGGGCAGAAGACCTAAACAAGCAGTTCTCCAAGGAAGACATACAAATGATCAACAGGCACATGAAAAAAATGTTCAATATCACTAATTATCAGAGAAATGCAAATCAAAACTACAGTGAGGTATCACCTCACACCAGTCAGAATGGCCATCATTCAAAAATCCACAAATGACAAATTCTGAAAGAATGGACGGAGGGGTAGATGGAGGGAGGAATGGATGGAGGGAGGGATGAGTAGAGGGAAGGATGGAAGGATAGAAAGAAGGAAAGTCTTGGCATGGAGTCGAGAAGGTGTCTATTTAGCCCTTCATTAATCCCGCAAGGATTTACCGAGCACCTCCTGGCAGCCCCGTGCTGGGCACTTGGAGTTACAGAATGTGTGGGATGTGAACTCTGTCTAACTCAAGGAAGCTTCTCTTAATATGGGGGTAGGACAAATATGCAGATAGTTGTAATTAAGGGAGCGTGTCAGCACAAGGGTTGAATTTTCAGGGCAGTCCTAGTATCAAATAAAAGAACATGAGATGTGATGCTAAGCCTTTTAAGGCTTTATCTAAATAAAGTAACAAGAGAGAAGGAAAAAAATTTTGGACAACCTAGGCAATTTTGTCTAGAAAATGTGATAATAACGAATGTCAAAGACATAGAGTATGCCCAGTTGCTGATGTGACACCTGGAGCCGGGACAGCAATCCTGTGGCCACCATCCTGTGGCTGCTGTCCCGTGGCCCTGAGGGAGGCCAGCGTAGGAACAAAGCTGTTGCAGTAAGTGTGCTGAGTGCCCCACCTGGGATTTAGGGTGACTTTTCCCTTTTGATGCTTTATGTTCGATATGTGTTCCTTGCACCCAAATCATCCTGACAAATATAGAAAGGCTATCTAACAAAAAGCAGAGAGAGGAAAGGCGTCTTTTCCAGGTATTTAAGTCTCAAAACAAGAAGGAAAGAGCCTACACTCCCAGCCAAGAGCTTTGGGAAAGGATGTGCTGAGTAGACACACAGTCCCCTCTCCCCACCCAACCACCGAGACCGGCCGGAGTGGAGAAGAGAGAGAAGGGAGGGACAGAAGATGTAAGAAGGTTCGGTCGTAAGGTAAGATATGCGTCC